TTTTTGCGCAGATTTATTTTTGGTTATGGTAAACATGGTCACAGACTAAGGCTTTAGTCGTCTTAAAGGTTATCTCATTATATAGTTGTTACAGACCACATTTACCCACAAAATTACAAAATAATTTAAATTGATAAGTTCTGCTCACCCTGAGTTCACGAGTGTACACTCGAGCGCAGGTATGACCTGTGCGATCATGCTACAATCATCTGACTAGCGGCGTACGGGAACAGCGCTAAAAGTTAAAATAGTGGTAATTGAATTGCAAATCGACACGATCGTAGAGCAATTGTACTAAACTGTAGGAGCGGAAGGTCGGCCTTTGTCGGCGGCAGTGTATTGCCGATAGCAATATGTTTAGAACAAATGAATGTTGGTGAGATACATCATCCACAGCTTAACATTTTATTTACGTCTTTTATATAGCTTTATATTGTTTTTTTTGCACAATATATGAACATAATTGAGCATAACCCCTTTTACTTTTTTCTTGGTTAAGCAATATTAAATTCTTTCGCCTTCTTTAATTATATTTTTATGTATTTTTGGATTGATTCACTTGGATATTAACAAGGACATATTCATTAACAAATTAACAATTTTAGGGTTTTCATACTACTTTATCGTATCTTTTGTAATAACCTAAACTGTTAGGGCCATAACCATGATTTACATACTCTTAATTAGTTTTAGCAATTCTAGGCTGTAACAAACTATGCACATGTCTAATTTAAATATATGATATACAAAAGTTGTGTATATGCTAATTTTATATATGCTTTGGTTCATTTTTTTAATTAAAGATTTGGTATCCTCACTACTTAAGTATGCCTGACCACAATAAACTAGTCACGTATCAAAAGTTTTAGTATTTCAGAATAGAAATTAATTTTCAAAAGTCTCAAATGATATCTTTTGTTGTCAGTATCAGTAATAGGAAAGGCAAAGTAATTTGGGCGAATGAGAAGGCTAATTGAATGTAACGTAATACGAGGCTTGCGCTAATTCCCCGGGGGAGAAGCCAACTCCTACCGGACGCGTCCCCAGGTGGCGGATAGGGGAATGCCACCCGCTTAGGGCGGCGGGTGGTACCGGAGAAATCCGGCGCGGACCAAATGGCTTGGGTGGGGCCGCTCGTCTAGGCCTCGAGCCGAAGGCGTTGCGGCCACCGGTGGTGGGACCGCTTGGTCCCACAACCGGATGATGGGTGCCGGTTGCGGGTCGCAGGCCCGCATCTGGCAGAGGGGTAGGCCGCGGTGGGAGAGGAGTGCCAGTATTTCGGTGCGCCGTTCTCCCTACCTTCCGTGGCCTAGACGGGGCCGCCACCGTTTGATGGCGGACGCGGTGGGGCTGCAGGGGAAGAGGAGTGTCGGTGTTTCGTTGCCGCTCTCCCTGTCCTCTGCAGCCGATTGGAGGTGGCCCACTTCGGAGGGCGGAGGTTTGGTTATGGGGCTACTCCGGGTACCTCTCTGGCGTAGCAGAGTTGACTGTGGAGCAGCCCCATTGGTTTGGTAGTCTGCCTAGCGCTTAGGCAGACCTGCCGCCGGGGCGCCGTAGTAGTTATGCGCAAGTGATCCTGCGGCGTCCCACTAAGGCAGGGGGAAGGGATGTCGGGTTTTAGTGGGTAGTACCGGCTCTTCTAGCCGGTGAGCCCCACATCACCACCTGGGGGATCAGGTGGTATGCGTAAATGCATTTCCCGACGATAAAAAAAAAGTCTTGCGTTAATTCACTGGTAATTTGTAGCAAATGAAGCAAAATGCTGAATCCAATTTGTCAACCGACTTCCTCAAAAAGGAGAAGGTTTTTTTTTGGAAGGTATTTTTTTTGTTTCTTTTTATGTTTACCTCAGAACTCCGTCATTTATTACCGATTTGAATAATTTTTGTTTTGTTTGAAAGTGTATATATCACCCCTAAGGGTGGAAAAATAGCTAATGATGAATTTAATCTACTTCTAATTGTCATATTGACTTGAAACTTTGCAAGTGTTTCTATTTCCGTTTAATGAACAGTGGTTCGGTATTGTTGACCTAATCTGATGGCAAAGCCAGAAGGTGGATAGGTGGAACTCTTCAACGACTAATAGTAGATACTTTGAGTTTGGCCTTATTTTGTTTGATTTGACAAGCTTAACACGTTAGAATTCTTACTTTGCTACTACTGTCTACACTAAAAAGGGAAGAATAAAAACTTTTTGACAAAAAAATAAAAACCGACTTCAAAAAAAGCACTAAAAAGCTAACTTATTGGTAGTTTTCATTTACTATTTATACCTTATCAAATAATTTCGAAGTCGGTGCCAGCCGATACAAATATAATATATATATATATATATATATATATATATATATATATATACTCGTAGAATGTAGGTGAGCGCTCAAACCAATTCTTGCATTTTCCAATGAAAGAGGAATGGTAAATTTGTTAATTGTTAACTCAGCTACTTATAGTGTTTGTGTAATAAATCGTTAAAATTTTTGTATGAAGAACAACTCGCCGAACCAGTTTCAGTTTCCTGTGGTATTGAAAGATTCCTGGAGTAAAATGTATCCTAAATATTGACCTAAGTAATAAGTTATCATTACACAAAATTTTGTTAAATTTAGTTCTTTACTTTTTGCGTAAAAAGCCAACAGATATACAGACAAACCAACAAAAATTTCAACTGTACAATACGTAAAAGGCATTGCTTTTTAAAAAACATTACATATAGGTACATATTTAATTTTGATACTATTTTATTTTACGTATGTATAAATGAAACGGACCGTGATGGTTTGTCGGTTTATCGATGTTGCACACAAAAACCGGAGCTTCGAATACGTTTAATTGTTGATTTATTACATACGAGTATCACCTCTTTAGGAACCACTGAAGATATGAAAAGGGTATCAAAAGTGTAAAAATGAATAAAAGTTCAAAAAATCTGTGATTGTAGATGTCTGCTTCAATTGCAGAAATACCTTAGAAACTTTTTCTTTATCCGACATTTGAAATAATAAATAGAACGACGACATGTTTGTAGTGCCCTACTTGCTGTGCCAGCAATCGCAGGTTCAAGTCTCGCTGGGAGCCTACATTTGTATTATGAGCACAAGTGTTTGTACTTCAGTCCTGGGTAATTATATTTATAATATTATGTATACATTGAAAGTTATCAATGTGTAATATACCAACTATTCGGTATCCATAATACAAGCCTCGTAGCTTACCGTGGAACTAAATGGTCTATGTGTCAATGTCCCAACATATTTACCATACATGCTTAATAATATGCTTAGCGACATCTGTTAGAAAAATCGGTAATGACTTTCAGATACTCCTATGTATATTTATTTATGGATACAGTATAGTAAGATTTCTTGATAAAGGTTGGTTTTTTTGTTTGGAAACATATTTTTTACTACTTATATTATATTTTATTTCTATTGATATACACATATATAGCACTTTGTACCAGAACGAATACACTTGAAGCACCATTAGCCGCTAACAGGCATTGTAAAGGGTTTCAGCATTCAACAAGGAGAATACTAGAATGAGCATAATGATAAAAGAATTTGGGTCATTCAAACACAATGTAGCGAGAAATATTACGGAAGTATTGATTTAGAGAAATAGTTTGAGTAGTATTTTAATTATGGCGAGATGAAAATAAATAAGTTTTAAAACAAGTGTAACAAAGCTAGATGACTCAGAGACAAATAGACATGATCCAGCGTCAAACTAATGCATACGTTTGATAATAATTATTGATCTCTAAACGATTCAAAAAAGTCGATTATTGTATATTGATTAGACAACACCTCCAGGTAAATATCTAAGAAATTAATTAAAATTCTAAGAAATCTATGGTTAACTGACACGCCGGGGTGTCCGCGGCCGTGGAAGGATTAAAACTACTAATAATTGCTTATTAATGTTAGTTATTTTATGAAAAGCGCTTCTTTGAGACAAGCGTGGTCGATGAATTGGCAAGTCTACGCTTTGTCGTAGATGTACCGCCACAAATATCGTATGGATCAATGGTTATATAATTCGAGAATAGTCGTTAAAAAACAACTGTACTATGGTTGTCTTCTAATTTCCTTCTATGCTTGTGAAAGGCTGTATCAATTAAATTTTTTAAAGCAAAACAAAATGTAGGTATGGGAATGAGCAAATATTATATTTTAAAAATATATCATCAATTATTTAGTAAGCTTCTCGTGAGTGACATGAATAAATTTCTCATTTCAATCAATCGGATACAAAACCCATCAGACGTGGATTTGTAGAGATTGCCGGCAGATTGCAGTCGAACAAGGATTCGTTACATTTTTATGTGTTCAAGCGCGTTAAATCCTTTTCACATTTACCAGTAGTTCGCTGGGATTTTCTTACAGTACTGGTTTTAAAAATTTTAATGTACGATTCTAATTTTATCTTCATTAATGTAAAGTATACCATTAAGTATGTCTCAGTTATTTACACAAGTTACCTGAAGACGACGAAAAATTAATGATACTTTGGAAATACTTTCGAAGTCCCCGGCACCGGCGGAATCCAGTTAAACGTTTGAACATCAAACGAAGCTGTCATTACGAGATTCTTAAAATTTCAGATTATATGAATCTTCTTTTTTATTAAAATACCAGACTGGCGCATGCAATGGAGTTATTATAGACATCAACGCTTACTTATTCAACTTTGAGATATGCATATAAATATGTCTTGCTGAGCGTACCGCGAGCATAATTTCAAAATTAAAGAATATCTTAATTCTTAACTGACTGCTTACATCGTGTTGTAGTATTATAATAATGCGCAGATGAACAGCCATCAAAGCACAATGATGTTGTAATCTATTAATGTTTTCAAGTCGGTGTGGTAGATATTACTTAGTTTTATCTCCAAATAAGACGGAAGCTTACACCATTACATCAATGGTAAAAGCTCTAAACCTAAATTTGGCATCTGATAGCAAAGTTTCGTTCTTCTGTAGTGACCAGATTAAGCAATTAATCGTATATCGAAGCGCCGCAGCGTAGCAATTACTCGCAAGTTACTCTTCGTTAATGTGTGTAATGAAAGAGCCCATAAATGATCTAGTGTCCAGACATTTGTCCAATTAGGTTTTATTTCACTTTTACGCGCGATCTCAATATTAACTGAGATAAAGTATATCGATATATATAAGAATAGAGATAATGGAGGCTGTGTGACTTCAATTATAAAATAATTGAACTATTTCTTAGTACTCTGTTGATAGTAATCTACGCTTTGTAGAGATCTACCATAATTTTTCTAAAGATAATCTATGAATGGCAATTCCACTTGCAATACATACCTATAGTCGATCAAAACGTACAATAAGGTAAGTTCATCGATCCAAAAATAAAAACAAGTGACTTTAAAGTTTTAATGTGTTAAATAATTTGAATTCGTGGAGCATACGCAGGTGTTCCGATGACTCCGATTAAAGGAATCGTATTAACTAAAATGCTGTCTCAGGACAACGCTTTTTATTTCCTAACTAAGGAGATTGATTCAATAAAGGATGCACTTAAATTTTCTTCAGATAATAAAGATTGTTAAAACCTCTTTAAAACCTTTTTCACGTTTCTATACTTTAATAGAAATAGATATCTTTAAAGTACAGATTTTTCAAATTATTTTTTTAAATTTAGATAACAGATTTCAGTACGAATAAAAATAAAATAATTCTAAGAAATACCAATGAAGTGTTGTCAAACTTAAAGATACACTACGTTCAAGTAGTAAACAATAGAAACGATTTTTCTCTATGAATACTCTTATCGTTTTGCTTTTAAACGGGTATACCTGTAAGTTTTATTAGTCGACGATGACGAAATCAATTTCCCACAAGAAACGTGTAGCTTGGCTCTATTTTTCCTGTGACGATAATACGCACGTTCAAAATGTCAAATTACTATACGCAATACTGGAAATATGAAAAGTAAACTACAGTACAATGCTTAGTTACAATCTATACGTTCCTCCTAACTACGTTTGCGTGAACTCGTCGCGAGGCGCAAAGCGCGAGGCGGGCACCGTGCGTGTGGGACGTTTGTTTATTAATGAAATAAATAAATATTATGACTTCAATGAACGCGTACCAACCGTGTGTTTTATTTTATATTTTCTTAGAAAATAAAACGAGTTTTATAAGAGTTTTATAACAAACATTGCAAACAGACACGCATTTACTTTATGAGGAATCCATACTGAAAGGTTGGATTCCTGCCACAAAGTCTACGTTGTCTGTGCATCGTTCGTGTTGATGAGTTGAATTATTTATATAACATTTGTTATCGCGACGGATTTACTAAGACAGTAAGTTAGAATTAAAAATGTTGAGTATTTCCGACCCACTTTAGAACGCAAGAGATAGATATTCATCATGGTTGTACGTGTGTATGCTAGCAGCTTGATGGGCCTCGGAAAATACCATGTGGATTGCTCCTGGTGTTCTCATAGGAGAGTGTAGCAACCACCTGGATGTTGTGGTCTGCCTCGACAGACAGCTGTTGGGATGTCATCGTAAGTAATCCTGCAACGCCCCATTAAGACAGGGAAAGTCCCGTAAGGTTTTAGTGGTAACTGGCTTTTCTACACGATAAGTCTACACCTAACTATAGAGTAGGAAGTATGGGTAAATATGTACATTTCCCAAAATTAAAAAAAGTTTATAATTTATTTAATTCATACTATTTACTTTAATAAGATAAACCCTTAGCCTTATATAAAATATATTTAGAACTTACAACATAGAGGGTTCATCCAATCACTGACGTTATATCCAGTAATTCTGTTGCAGCGTCTTTTAGAGTGTGACACCATAAACAGAGTTGTTTGCTCGAGGCGGAATGATAGCGCAGCGCGGGCCGTAAATAGACTTCTAGCCGTCTGATAAAAGGATATCTTCACAAATAAGTTTAGATAAAATATTTAGATCATCACTAATATATCATTAGCATTAATATAGGAGGCAGTGGTAGCCCAGTGGTAACGCGTTTACTTAGGAAACTGAGTGAAGTGGGTTCAAATCCCGGGTCTCGCACCTTTGATTTTTCAAGTACGCATTATTTCCAACATGATACCACTTGCCTTACGGTGAAGAAAAACATCGTGAGGAGGTGCTGAGAGAGACCTTAGTAAGTTTTCGAAAGACATGTGTAGTCTGCCAACCCGCACTTGGCCAGCGTGGACTATTTCATTGCCTGATCCCCCACGTATTGAAGGGAGGCCTGTGCCCAGCAGTAGGATGTTAAAAAGGGCTGAATACATAATATATTATTTATTGTCAAATTATTTTTTGTACACACGCGACCCCGTGACTTCGCACTTAAACACGGGTACAGATGTACCGAACACCTTAATTGTTTATCTGTTTGACCTTTTGCATTTAGACTCACAAAGAAATTATCTGATACAACTCTCGTACATTATTGGTACACAAGAGAATAACTCAAGATTCTCAAGAGAAATTCCTTCGTCATTTCATAAAGTCTAATACAGTATATAACAGTATAATGTAATATAGACAAACATATTACTATTATTTTTATATACATTCATTCAAGCTACAATACACTCAATCTTCACAAAAGTGATTTTTTTCCCTTTGACTTTTCTTTTGACTAGACCAAATACTGTGATGATATTATTATTTTATACTTTTACATTTCACAATAGTCCATCGAGACCATAAAACATATTTACTCGGAAATGACTAAACATTTCAATTTCAATGTTTTTTTATTTGTTATATGTATTTCGAAGATTAAATTACTTTAGTTTCTTAAAAGTCAAAAAGGTTATTCTAAAAATTAAAAAATAAAACCAAGAAAAAGTTTAAAACGCACCCCTATTACACCCACAACAAAACGAAAAAAGAATTATTCAGACATTTTTGAGTTTTAGCGAGACAAACAAATCGATATATATATATACCTTAGGCAACATACATTACATACGAATACGAATTACATACGAAGCAAAGAAGCAGTAAAACGATAAACTTAAGACAAAGCCTCCCAACGGTAGCAGGTGTCTTTAATCACTTCGAAACTTCCCAAGAATTATGAATTAAACTTAATCCAATACAAACTCCAGCGAAGCTTAGACGGAATGACAGAATTTTATCACTGTAACTCAATCATAGTATGCATATATTTTAAATCCTAAAAGAAATCATATACTCGTAATAGGTACTGTAACTATTAATATTAGGTAACTGAGTAAGACATCTAATTGAGATAACTTTTGGCAATAATTAACAAGTCACGGGCGTAATATTTCGATTTCCAACTTATAAATTACTAGCAGCTCACCCTCTAAAGAGGGCTAGAGGTGTATAAATTAATTTGGTAATAATCACGGGTGATGTGGCGATGATAAAATAAAAATCAACCGGTCAGTAAGGGGCTTTAATAGCAATTGACAATGAGTATGCAAAAAGAGATACATATGGCGAAGCGCCTGATTAATTTTAACCGCAATAACTGTTATACAAAAAATTGCTTATAACTAACTTAAACTAAATTACGGAAGCGTAAACATGCCCCCGGCCGTTGAAGGCTTGCATTCAACAGGACTCTTCTATCAGCGGGCAGATTTTCGAAAAGGCTCGTCTAATGATGCCGGTCGCAGTCTTAATATCAGCCACCCTGGAGATTCCGTCGGTGCCAGGATGAAGAGCAATAACTCGACCCAGTTTCCATTTCATTGGCGGCAAGTTGTTGTCTTTAATAAAGACTAAAGAGTTCAATTTTAGTGCATCCGTAGAGGATTTCCACTTGACTCTTAGCTGCAATTCTGACACATATTCTTTACTCCACCTTGACCAAAAATGCTGTCGGAGTTGTTCAATGCGGTGGTGTCGAGTTAACATATGACTGGAGCAACTACGAAGATCCTTTACAGGTAGAGATGTGAGCGGTCTTCCAATTAAAAAATGACCGGGAGTAAGAGGCAACAAATCTTCAGGATTCGACGATAAAGGAGTGAGAGGCCGAGAATTTAAGATTCCTTCAATTTGAACTATCACAGAGTTAAATTACTCATAAGTAAGGTGACAATTGCCTAGCACTCGCATCAAATGAAATTTAGTCGACTTGACACCTGCCTCCCAAAGACTGCCGAAATGTGGAGCATAGGCAGGGATAAAATGAAAGTTAACTCCGTCACGAGCCGCGCTGTCAGATATAGAGTTACAATTTTGTTTTAAAAATTCTGTAATTTCATTACAAGCTCCTGTGAATGTCGTTCCACGGTCAGAATATATATTAAGAGGTTTACCTCTCCGAGAAATAAACCTATATAATGCCTGCAGGTAACTATTGCTAGTCAAATCGCCTACCAGTTCTAAATGAATGGCTTTTGTCGTAAAACATACAAAAATAACGATATAGACCTTCACTAATCTACATCCACGACCTTGACGACTGAGGTTAAGGGACCTGCGTAATCAACACCTACGTTTTGGAAGGGAAAGTCAGTTGGTGAAAGTCTACTTGATGGTAGATTGCTCATCTGTGGCATTACTGTCTGTCCCTTAAAACGCCGGCATCGAACGCACTGACGATAACAAGCTCGAGCCAAGCTACGTCCCCCCAATGGCCAATATCTTTCTCTTAAAGTCGTAAGTAGCAATTGAGGACCTGCATGCATCAATCGAATATGCTCATATCGAAATAAAGTTTTACAAAATGATGAGTGGACTGTAAAAGAATTGGATGTTTTTTCTCAAAAGCGTATTCGGAATTATGTAGCCTACCTCCTACACGTATAAATTTATTAGCGTCGAGAAATACACTTAATTTTAACAAACGGTTTTTGTACGGTAGATTTTTATTATTTATTAACATATCATACTCAGGAAAAGATTCTCTTTGTGACTGAGCTATTATAAAATTTAAAGAGTTTTGTAGTTCAGTTTTAGAAAAATAAGCAGTGTTTTTGTGCCTCTTCGTTTACAGGCATCAATAAAGCGAAATACATAACAAAAGGTACGTTGTAATCTTAAAATATTAGAAAAACGTTCAAATTTTATTAATCCTGTTTCTACAGTATTGTCATGCGTAACGACATGAAGGTTAATATTTGTTTTTATTTCAGGTAACGTTATCTCCATATCATTTGGACTGCAAGGCCATTCATCTACATCTTTATGTAAAAAAGATGGACCAAATCACCACAGGTCCAAGGTTTGCAGACAGGAAGGTTCAACTCCACGAGAAATTAAATCTGTTGGATTTTTATTACTAGGTACATGTCTCCATGTACACTGACTAGTTTCTTCTAGAATTTCTCCCACGCGATTACGTACAAATGTATTTAATTTGATAGGCAGCATCTTTAACCAACCAAGCACAACCATGGAGTCAGTCCAGAATACAACCTTTGAGGGTTGAGCTCGAAGTGAACTTATAACCTTTTTGTATAGACGCGCTCCAAGTACACTAGAACAAAGTTCAAGGCGTGGTAACGTTACCGGTTTAATCGGCGTGACGCGACTTTTAGCCATTGCTAAGTGCACGCTGACATCACCTTGCCTATTTACACTGCGAATATACAAGCAAGCGCCATAAGCTTTCTCCGAAGCATCTACAAATACGTGAATTTCGAAGTGTTGGTAAGCATCACAAGTGACACGACGCGGTATATGAATATTATTAATAGCTGGTAAATTTTTAATCAGGTTGGCCCACTCAGTGCCAACCTTAGCTGTTAATTGATCATCCCAATTTAAGCCTTTAAGCCAAAGATGTTGTAACAACATTTTCATGCGTATGACACAAGGTGATAATAAACCCAATGGATCAAATATTAGTGCAATTATTGCTAGCATGCTACGTTTAGTATTATTCGTCTGTTCAGGAATGTTTATAGGAAAGCAAAGTTTGTCAATGTCGGTTTGTCAATGTCGGTTTGCCAACTCAGCCCTAAAGTTTTATGTAACGTGTCACCTTCTAGGTGGAAATCAATTGTCGACTGATCATACTATTCAGAAAATAACTTAGGCTCGTTAGACTTCCACTTCCTCAAAGGCATACAAGCGGTAGTAAGAGCATCAGTGACCTTCTTTCGCAGTTCATACGCAGTTTCGAGTTGGTCTATGCCAGTTAAAAGATCATCGACATAAAAATCATGGATGATGATTTCCGAGATCATTTTATCAGTACATTCCATTCCCACTTGTTTAAGGCATCTCGTTGCGAGAAATGGTGCGCTGGCAGTGCCATAAGTAACGGTATTCAACTGGTATATCTTAAGTGGACACAATGAGTCATTACGCCAAATGATCTGCTGTAAGTGTCGGTCGGAAGGATTACGGACACTTGCCGATACATTTTCTCCACATCTGCTGAAAGTACATATTTGTACATTCGAAATCTAAGTAAAATAGATGTAAGATCATCCTGAACAGTCGGTCCTACCATCTGTATTTTATTTAATGAAAGACCAGACGTAGTAATTGCACTAGCATTAAAAACAACACGAAGTTTCGTGGTAGATTTATCTAACCTTAACACCCCATGATGCGGAATGAAATACGAATTATTTTTATTAATTTGAATCTCTGACAAATGTGATAAAGAAATATACTCAGACATAAAGTCTTTATACATCTTATCTAATGAGGCTTGATTTTTATTTCTGCGCTCAAGTGACAGAAAACAGCGTTTAGCATGATTAAATGAATCGCCTAAAATATCGGATGATTCCTTTAACGGTATTTTAACGCAAAAACGTCCATCTGATAAACGTGACGTATTTTTAACAAAATGTTCTTCACACATTTTTTCTTCTAATGAATAAGTAGATGACTCATGGCATACCTCCTCGAGCTGCCAGAAACGCGTTAATTGGTTTCGAATGTCATCATGCTCATTTAATTGTGTGGAACATGCTTTATTGAAATTACATTTTATAGGTGAAGACCAAATGTTAAAACAATTATTGTGGCCGCCGTTAATTGGACCACTAACTAACCATCCAAGATTTTTTTTTTGTTTGATAAAGTATCGGTAATCTATCACCTAATATAATTTTTTCGGATCCTAAGAGACTCCAAAAAACATCCGCTCCAATAATTAAATCAATGGAACCCGGTGTGTATGTTAAGTTAGCATGGATACAGCTACAGGTCTCTAGGTGTAGCAGAATTTTAGTTTCTTTTTTGTTGCTGGCTCTCTGGGGTGTCCTGATGTTATTTGCGTCCAGCAACAAAATCAATGCCTTCGTCTTGTTAAAAAAACTGCATGTTAAGATAGCATGGAAACGGCTACAGGTCTCCAGGTCTAGCCAATTCTAGCGATTTTTCAAATTTTTTTACACTATTTGTCAGCAACAAATTAGCAACAAATACTGATGTATAATTGCATTTAATCCATGCCGGTCCCGGTGAGTTTACTGCTAGCTTAACGTTAAGATAGCAGTAACTCTTTTTTTTTTCGAAATCGGACAAAGCAATAAAATCGGGGTTTTAGCAATTAATTAGCAACAAATTAGCCACAAAATACCGTATATGTTTCGAACGATTCTGCTAACCTTTCACTGCTATCTTAACACACCTGGAAAAATAGCTAATGATGAATTTAACCTACTTCTAATTGTCAAATTGACTTGAAACTTTGCAAGTGTTTCTATTTCCGTTGATAGTACAGTGGTTCGGTATTGTTAACCTGATCTGATGGTAAGGCCAGAAGGTAAATAGGTGGAACTCTTCAACGGCTAAATAAATACTTTAATGGCTAAATACTTTGAGTTTGGGCTTGTTTTGTTTGATTTGACAAGCCTAAATATACGTTACAATTCTTACTTTCCTACTACTGTCTACACTAAAAAGGGAAAAATAAAAACTTTTTAACAAAAAAGTAAAAACCGACTTCAAACAAAAGCACTAAAAAGTAAAAAATAACTGATTGGTAGTTTTCATTTACTATACATAGCTAATCAAATATATTCGAAGTCGGTGTGCTTTGGCTAAGTAATTAAAGCCTACCTATTAAATACATACCTAATCCAATAATTTCGAAATCGGTGCCAGGCCATATAAAGCAAAGCACACTGACTTCGAATATATTTGATTAGGTATGTATAATATAGTAAATGAAAACTACCGATCAGTTATTTTTTACTTTTTAGTGCTTTTGTTTGATGTGGGTTTTTATTTTTTTGTTAAAAACTTAGCATATAAATCATTTGTAACAAACGAAGTCAATTAACTTTTACATAGATAGGTACATATATTGCAAAACCCTACCCATTTTGAAGCTTAGCATTAATACTCTACAGATAAGATGAAATTTTAATGGAAAGTAAACCTTCAAAGCAACTACGTTCTGTATTTTCGGTTTTGGTTCGGTCAGCGCGGGGTGAGGGGAGGGCGGGGAGAGGGGGGTAACAGGTCGTTGGCTCAATATTACAAGATTCTATGTTACAATTTTAGTACTTATGTAGTTATGAATACTACAAGATTCTATGTGTCATTAGATACACTTTTGCAAAAACAAACCACTAGATAGCAGCACTGTACCTACAAAATATTAAATTTTACATAGTTTTATTTTGTTTTTTTTTTTAAATCATAAAATAACGAAGTTCCATTTAAAACAGAATCATACAATTTTGGTTTTTATATTTTTTTAGGATAGCAAGGTTCTATGTTAAACAGAGGACCTTGCTTAGAGTTTTATGCTTATAGTTTTATTTACAACTAGCGCTTCGCTCGGGTTCGCCTCTAGAAAAGCACAAGCTGGTATATCCCATGGGAACCGTTTATTTTTCCGGGATGAAAAGTAACTTGTTGTTAGACTGGCAATATACGGTATCAGCATGCCAGATTTTACTAAATTACGTGCATAAGTTGTTGTGTACTAAGTTGTATAAGTTACTATAGTTTTTGAACTATCCCACGGGAACTACTTAATTTTCCTGAATGAAAAGTATCTTAGATGTTGACCGGGGATATAAGGTACCACCATGCAAAATTTCACTTAAATCAGTCCAATAGTTTCGGAGATTAGCTCGTACAAACAAACAAACAGGCAGAGAAACAAAAAAATCTGGATTTATTCTATTTCGTTTCTTACATCTCGTACTGACTCGGTTTATAGCATTTTTTTCTTTGTACAGACATTCGACTTCTAGTTTTATTATACATATATATATATATATATATATATATATATATATATATATATATGTAGATAATAGATAGATAGAATAAATAACGTATAATAAAACAGTGATATACGAGTAGAATAGTGAAAATAATTATAGCGAGTGTACCTTCGGAAATAGACATATAATATTGAGAACTTTTCTATAGACCTGTTACGCTACACTGCCACAGCCTATCATAGCGAGCCAATCCAAGCCATGCCAAGCCACCACTACAGCTACCGGATGCCTCCGGTGGGGGTAAAGCTATATAATGTCCCGCAAGCTCATTTTGACAAGTTTTGACAACATTGTTAAGTTGATAAGCCGAAACTCTGTCCGTTTGTTCAAATATAATTAGTTCAAGTACTTGTCTTTTTTTAATACATCATCACCCTTCTGCTTCATATCAGAAGTGGTATAAATGAAATAAAAAAAGAGCAATGAAACGTTAGCATACTGATGCGGCAAGTACAGACCGTCTCGAAACACATAATCGAGATGCTCCCGACGCAAGTGGCACCGAAGATACATCGCCAGGCTCTCCTCCGGCTCGAAAAATCGTTAGAAGACTCTTAGAAGCCGAAGTTCGTAAGGCTATGTACGAATTAAATGAAGAGATACCTTCCGTCACAACAAGAAAAGAACACCGCGCAGCCTCACTTATTCCTGAGTTCGACCCCTACAGTGAGGAATGCACTACAGCAACAGCATGGCTTAAAAAGATCGATCAACTGGGTGAAATACACAACTGGAGCGAAACCACAAAGGCGTTTTACCTACAAGACAGATTAAGAGGCCAAGCAAGAAGATGGTACAACCGGTTAGATGAATACGATTATTCCTGGGAAGACTGGAAGCAGATGTTGAAGCGTGCCTTTCCCAGCCATCGCGAATTCGGGAATATGTTAGAAGAGATGATGAACAGAAAAAAACTACCCTCAGAATCGATGACGAAGTACTATCAGGACAAAGTCGCCATGTGTTTCCGATGTAAAATGTCCCATAGCGCGACTGTGTCTTGCATCATTCGTGGCCTACCACCATCACTAAAAGCAAACGCAAGAGCATATTAATGCGAGCGACCTGAAGAATTGTATGAAGGTTTTCTCTGTGCCTTAGACGACTATCAACCACCGTCAACATCTATTGCAATGCGTACGGAGAGTAAAGATACCATTACCTATAATCGGCAGGTAAATGAGAAAAATAATAATAAATCTGTCAACCCAGACATTGACCCATGCCCGCGCTGCAAGAAAACTGGCCACATACTTCGTAACTGTCCGTATCCCGATTTACAAATATGCTTTAAATGTGGCAAGCAAGGCCACATTGCAACACGCTGCGTTATATCTCAAAAGCCATGTACTGATGACAAGGTTAAAGAAATCAAGCTTCTACAAAATCATAACAGGATTTACGAAAAAGCAGTAAAAATTAATGGCGTATACGTTAAATCTTATATTGATACCAGGAGTCAAGTTAATGTACTCGGGAGTCAAGTTGAAGTAGCTTTTGAATTAGAAATCGACGGCATTTGTATTCCTAGCAAAGCTCATTTAACGGACGTGGATATGGGGAACATCGATCTATTAGTTGGACAACCTGTAATCAACAGCAATGGAATGACCTTAGTGGTAAGCGAAGGCAAAGCCACCCTCAAGCAAGATGTAGATTTCA